GAAATTTGTTGGGCAGAGCTGCTCTTGTAATGCTGAGGATTACACAAGTAGAAGATGAAAGCCTGCCTCGTTTCTCTGCTTCTGCTTGTCAGCATCCTGCTGCAGGATGAAGTGTATTTCTTGCTACTACTGTCTCACTTTCCATACCTACATAGGGACAGTCTGAACTGGCTTTTATTCAGCACCTCCCTCTAAATCTTTTGGCAGCACTTGATGTTTCCAGGACCTGCCCTGTGTGGGAGGGGCAATATGTCTGGTCTTTATACTGATAACATCTGACCATTGAGCAGCAGAGTGCAGCACTTCACCAGTGCTGCCTGCCTGCAGAGCTTTGCTGGTGTCACACATCACTTTCTAAAAAGTGCTGGTTATTGGTGTACTGATACTTTTGCATTTCCTTCCAGGGGTTTAAACATGTCCGAGTTTGTCTGCGACCCAAGGGCAGGCTCATATGTGTATGACCTCATCGCAGTTTCCAATCACTATGGAGCCATGGGAGTAGGCCACTGTGAGTAACTGCTTCTGTGTCCTTTGTGTGCAAGGAAATAAAGGTGGAGCTGTCTAGTCCGAAACTTACTGTGTTCTGTATGCAGGTGGATGTCGTATTGGAACGTAATGTCCTTCCTATTAGGATTTGCAGAGCAGCTAGCCAGTTTCTGTGGTTTACAGCTGCCTGAGGTCTGACTGATGCCTGTGAGGCCTTGGTTAATAGTCATTAGAGTGTGTGATGGTGTTCCCCAATTCATGAGTGGAGTCAAGATTTTTCAATGCTGAACATAAAATTGTGAAAAGGAGCTTCTTACTGGAGAGTGCTGGGGGAAGTCTTCAGCATAAGCTGTCAGTTCAGCTCCAAGACTCAGCTCCTTGCCCTGCAGCGTGCCACAGAACAGCTGCTTGTCCAGTGTGGGTGCAGCATCACAGCTGCAGAGCAGAGATTGCCAGCAGTTGAGCCAGCCAAGCAGGAGCTTGCCAGGTTCCCTCAGTGGTGGTGAGACAAGGTCTGATGAGCAGCAGTTGCCTGTAGGCCAAGAAGACAGAGCAGAGGGCATACCTTGTCATGAAGCTGGGTCTGATGCCCTTCTGCATTTCCTGTCCTGAATTCTGTTTGCTGCAATAGCAATTTAAAGCGCTTTTGTTTTTTCTTTCATTTTCCTTTGTTCCAGACTTTTTCTAAAGCAAGCCACAAACAAACACGTAGTTCTTGGGACCTCTTGGTTGCGCAGCTGGTGCTAGCTTGCAACAGAATGTCTCCACCTTTGTGCTGACAAGGGCTCTCACATAGCAGAGAAAACGCCATGCCATCAGGAGAGAAAAAAACTTTGTTGCATATAACAAGTCTGTGTTTTCTGGCACTGGTTTTGTTGCAGCATAGACAAAATGCATCTGTAGGTGGAGTTCCCTGTATCAGGTGTCCGTGCAGATTCATGCTGTAGGTGACGCTTCTGGAACCACCCAGAAATGTTTTACTATGAGAGGATGATGAACTCCCATTTGGCAGAGTATGTCACTGCAGGATAGTATTAGCTGAAGGGGCATATGTTTTGAGCTTGGAGATTGTAGTCACAGAAGTCTTGGTTGGAAGAGACTTTGCAAGACCTTAATCCAACTTCCTTCTTGAGTGAGGGCTTTTGCAATCGCAAGAACAGATCCGTCATCAACAGCAAACTTCTCTTTCCTGTGAAAAATGTGAAAATGCTGAGTCTTAAAACTGTGTGTTTGGGAAGGCTCTGGTTCAAGGGGGGGTGAACAAAACACTATAGTTTTTTCCTGAGTTTTTACCCTGTATCTCAGCTATCATGAGTAAGTGTGATATGTGGAACATGGTTCTAGACTAGCTGGACCAGCTAGGATGTTCTAGAAGATACGTGTGTTGGGGAACTAGGTTTGGGGTAGTTAATGTCAAAGCGAACCCCTGGCCTTCCGTGCACGCTCAGTTTGATGCGTGAGCGTCGCAGCTGGCGTGGCGTTACCTACCAGCCTTCCGTGGAGTGCTGAGGTGCAGTTTCTTCTCCTGACAGACACCGCCTACGCAAAGAACAAAGTGAATGACAAGTGGTACTACTTTGATGACAGCAGTGTATCGGTGGCTTCAGAAGACCAAATAGTGGTGAGTGTTTGGCCTGAGGCTGATCTTCATTTGTGCTGAAAGTGTGGTTCCCTGCTTTGGGTGTTACATTTCCAGCCAAGCTGCGTGGATTGTTTCAGATGGTTTTCTTCTTTGTTTGGTAGACAAAAGCTGCGTATGTGCTGTTTTATCAGCGCCGAAACGGTGAGGAACACGCTGCCCCACCTCCTCCCCAAGAAGAGTGTGACGGTATGGATACCAACTAAACGCCACCTCCAGCGCTCGGCCACCATGTTAGCGATCGCTCTTCTAAAGCCATGCCTGAGGCATCTGAAAATCTTTCTTCCTTCTGTAGGAGTTAAGCAGAAAATCTAGCACTGAAAGATTCAGTGCTGGGGGTTGCAGAATAGCACTGGAGAGCCAGGAATAGGTGCTGACACTTGGGTATTTAGAGGCCAAAAATAATATATATTGGAGCTTCAATAAAGTTCTTTTTAAAATCTGGCTGAGCTGTGTGGCTAGAGGCAGGGCTCAGGGCTGGGCTGGGGCTGTGGGTCTTGGACTGAGGGTCGTAGCTGGGTTCGGGAGAGTAGAGCCTGATCTGGAGCCAGGTCACAGCTGAGCCTTGCAGGGGCCCGTGGAGGAGCGTGGTGGGTGAGATTCTGTGAATCGGCATGGAGGCCTCCTGCCAGCTCTCTGGTGTTGCTGTTGGGCCCTGCCTGTGTCAGGGAGGCTTGCTGCACCCTTTCTGGAAGCTTAGTGCAAATCTTTGTACATCTGGCCTGTCTGTTGCAGTCTCTGCCATCGTACCTCAGTCCCCTTGCTGAGCAGCAAATGTTTCACTTTCTTGTGTCCTTTCACTGATGCATTTGAGGCTCTTCTGGGCACTTTCCACTCAGCCTTTTTTTCATGTGAACATTGGATCTTATAATGTAGGAAACTTTACCGGAATCTGTATCTAGATGTATGGCGTATGTGCAGGCTGATCCGCACAGCCATGCAGGATGCAGCTGTTCTGGCTCCCATTCTTCTGCAGGGAAAATACCATCCATAAGATTGGTGATTTCTAGTCCTCTCCATCTCCTACACCCCTCACTTCTAGGCTGCTCTGTAAGCGCTTTTCTGTCTCCACCATTTTTCCTATGATTTGTGCAGTGACAGCATTTTTATCCTTTTTTGCTCACTTATGTGACTCCTTGGAGCTTTTTCTCCAGCAAAGCTGAGCACCAGTAAGGATGACAGCACAATGCAATGGATTGTGTGTTTTCAGCCTTTTCTCTTGCTACTTTTGTTTTTCTGGGCTGCTCGTCCAGCCTTTCTCCTCCTCCCTTGAGTGCTGCCCTTCAGACCCCCACCCCATCATCGTCTACAAGGCTGTAGGTGTGACTGGTCTGAGGTCTTTCTTCGCCTTAGCTGTTCAATAGTTCTGCTCCATCCTTTCGACGCAACTGGCAAATGCTCTTCCCTCTGTCCTCCTTTACTGTCTGTGTTACTTGTAGGACTCAAGTCCAGCTTTCCTCTTCAATGAGGACTCCTGTGACCATGACCACTAGATCAGGTCAGTCCTCAGTGGAGAACTGGTCTTCCATGTGAAAAAGGGGAAAAATCTAAAGCCTTAGTCTGTTTTTTTAGGGGCAGATCTGGCTCAATGTGGTGAACCAAACAGGACAGTTTTTCCTTCTTGGAGCCAAGTGCTTTGGCAGAACAAAAGGCTAAGGCAGGTGACTGCCCTGCTTTCGCCCCCCACCTACCCTGAAATGTGTGCTTGCAGCCATTTGGTCCTCTGCATGCTGGCCCTGTGGCTTCATTGCTGACCATAAGCTTGTCTGATGGTCAGCGTAACAGCGGTCATCCGTTTAACTCCAGATATGCCAGCTCGCCTCCCGTTCCACAGCTCTCGGTGACAAGCCTCATAGGAAATAGTTGTGTGCCTGTCCCTGCACCTCTGCTGTGCTGCAGCTGAGCAAAAGCCCAGCCAGCTACTCACTGTCTTCCCCTGCTCCGAGCAATGGGAAGGGAGGGCAGCACCATGCGGCCCCTCAGCCAGGGCGCTGGAAGGCGATAGAGAGGAGGGAGGGCAGCCTCCAGCTGGCACGCTAGTGGTGTGGTCCTCTTCTGTAGAGTTTTGCTTTTAAAGCATTGAAATTCGAATTTTGAAATCAGAATTGCTTAATTGCTTCTGCTGTTCTGGTTTTGGGGTTGTTTGGGATTTTTACAATGCTTAATACTGTATTTCTTGCCTTTTTCCTCATTACTGAGGGGAGCGTCCAAAAAGCAATTTTTAAGCTGTAGCACTGCACTGAATTTCTCTAATCAGTGGTTTTTTGTTCATTTTACCCTGAAAGAAAATCATGTGGGAATTCCAAAACGAGGAACAGAGGAAAGGGAGGGGAGTAGGACCTTTTTTAAACGAAAAATCAATCTGTAATAACCTTTATTCTCCTCCTTGCCTCCTTACCCATGCTAACACTGAGAAATAGATCAATGGGGCTAAATCTCCAATGCTCAGATGCTGAACAGACTCTTGTACTGCAGAAAAAGTGGCCCAGCTCTTTCTTTCTCTGCCTCTGAGCTGATGGGCTTCGGCTGGTTTGTATGCGTGCTGTAATACCAGACCTGTTTTTTAGACTAGCACTTTGTAAGTGGCTGGCTCTATTGTACAAAGCTGAAAATTAAAGAGTGGTTTGCACTGAAACTGGATTTGGTTGTATTTTCAGCTGGTTGCGGGGATGCCTGATGTTCCGGGAGCAATTTCGGCTGGGGGAGGGTGAGTCCCGTGGAGCCAACCGCTGCTCTGCCAGTGGGGATGTGGGAGAAAAGCAGCCGTTGCCTGCAGCACTCTGTGCGTCTGAGGGTTCGTGCTCGCCCTGGAATTGCCTTTTCTTGCCTGTGACACTGGGTTGCTGACATCTGGTGCTGTAGCAAAGCCCATCCGTGCCTTTCTGTGGCACTGGGCTGCCTCAGCTACGGCTTCCTCGTAGTTCCTCTGAGGATCTTGGGGTGACTCCTGACCTTCCTTCTGCCTGTTTTCTCCAGGGGTATCAGGACTGCTTGTGTCTGTACCACTGAAATAGTTGTCCTGCAGTCGCTGCAATTTCCTCTTCAAGGCAACCTGAACATGTATACAAGAACAGGCTGGAAAAGGCTGAGGGAGTTAAACGCAACAGGCTTGTGTGCATTTAGCATGGACGTGTGCGCGGGGTGTCTGGGGGATTGTCAAAATCTTGTGGGTGAAGGTGGGCTTAAAGCCCCTGTAAGAAGGTTTGAAGTCTTCATGTCACAATTACAGTGTAGTAGCGGAGTCTGATCTTAGCTGGAGCCTGAGAGGGTCAGAAGAACCTTAATGTAGGACAGCAGATGGCGAGTTTCACATGAAATGCTGACCTCCAGAGCATGGCATGAAGCCCACCACGGGAAGAAGGGAAAGCGAAGTGGCAGCTTCTGGATGCGGAGGTGTTTGAGTATTCTGTGTCAGCGTGCGGGCTCGCACCAACGGCTTGTACAAGAACGCTGAGGGCATGAAGCGAAACGAAATTCCCTATTGCAAAAGGGAGGAAAAAGTAACCTGAAACACAAGTTGTGTTGTCAGTGAAGCACTGTTCCTGGCGCTCAGGAAAGAGGTCTCTGAGGTAGAAAAGGACCTCTCTGAGCTAAGGCTCCTGTTCAGGGGAGAGGTGACTTTGGTAGAACAGAAAACAGGCTGTGTCTCTGTTCTGGCTCAGTTCCTGCTTTGAAGAGGGTGTGCAATTTCACCCTGAAAAAAAAGGGCTCAGAATAAAGAGGGAAAAAAAAAACAACACAAAAGCCACAGAGTATGGAAGAGATTCTGTTTAAGAAGCATTTCCCCAGGTTAGGACTCTTCTCCCTAAGGAAGAGACATCTGAGGAGCTCCTGCAGAAGAACAAGCCAGGAACAGTAGCACCGTTCTCTACAGTGGAAGAAGATGGTTAGGCAGAAGGCTTAAATAAGGCATTTATTTTTCCCAACCTGGCACAGTAAACTGATCAAGGAATACAGGGAACAGCCAGGCACCCTTGCTAGGTGTATGTCCTG